GCCGGGATGAGCGTGCGTTTTGAGGCCGGAACCAGCATCATCCGAGAGCTGCACATGTTCTACGGCGGCGTGGGCCCCACCGTGGTCTCCACGCCCCGCACCTGCGAGCAGCTGGTTGGCAGGTGGGGCGCTGGCAGGGCCGGGACCCGGGACTTCCCCCCTGCGGCTTCTTCAGGGCGGCAGCACTGGCAGAGCTTCCTGGTTTTAAATAAGTCGCCATCTAGGAAACGTGAGCTCCCGCAGAAGAGCATAGAAAGGGCAGGCTCCTCGGATGCAGCCCTTGGAGGCGGTGATTCCGCCCCGCAGGTCCTGTAGTGAGACTGCTGCACACGGGACAGGCTCTGAGCAGTAACGTCGCTGAGCACCTACTCGCATTACGAGACCTGAAAATGTCCTGAGTCATAGACATGAGTCAGTCTCCAAAAAGCCTCCTCTTGCCACGCTCACAACTTGCAGCACTTGCAAAGTACATTTTTTAAATTCTTGCCACTAGGCTGGGCGTGGTGGTGCACGCGTGTTATCCCAGCGCTCTGGAGGCTGAGGCAGGAGGATTGCCTTGAGTTCAAGGTGGCACTGGACCACATGGCAAGACTCAAGAAAAGTCTCACAAGAAGTGAGAGAGAAAGAAGGGAGAGAGAGAGTTCTTCGAAGTACTCCTTATATGATCATTTTTATTTCCTGTTATTGTTAATGACTAGGACTTAGCACAAGTTTTTCCTCCAAAAATAAAATAAATCCATGCTTCCAAAACAGTGACATAGGAACTTTCACTTATGACCTACTTTACAACTATCTTCAATGATTTGGCCAATCACCAAATTTCTGCCTCGTTTTCTTCACGCGAGCAGTCAGAGGTGAATCAATGACCTTAGCCCACGGAGGTAGGAGCAGCAGTGCAGGAGAAGGCGCAGGGCTGTGCAGCTTCTGGGACGCTGGGTGGCCTCTCTGGCCGGCTGCGGGCTGACCCCATCCTCCCGCCCGAGACGGGGTCTGTCCCCGAGCCTCAGCACTCACAGCAGGGCTTCCCCGGCCGGGTCTGGAGGTGGAGCAGAGCGCCGTGGGAAGGCTAGCAGGACGGCGGACAGCGGTGCCCAGGCCACCTTGCTTCCTGCTGCTCTTGCAGCTGCACCCGCCCTGCAGACCCCGCACTCTGTCAGAGGCCCTGCCAGCCTCCGCAGCCGCCCGTCCTCTCTGCAGGCAGTGGGATGACCAGACGCTGAGCGAGGCCTGCCGCGGGGTCCTGGCCGAGGTCCACCTGCCCCCCGACGCCACAGGTGGCCAGGTGCAGTTCCGGCGCACGCTGCTGCTCAGCCTGCTCTTCAAGTTCTACCTGAGCGTGCGGAGGGCACTGAGCAGACTGGTGAGTGCACAGCCCAGCTTCTGCCCGCTGCGTGTGCCTGGAGCTGGTGGGAACAGCAGCCCCCTGAGCCTGACAGAGTAACACGTTAGCGTTTAGAAAATGTGAATTAAGCCAAAAAGGAGAAAGATTATCTGTAATCCCATCACCCATAATTAACCACTATCAATATTTCCTAAGCCGAGTGTGGTGGTGCATGCCTGTAATCCCAGCACTTGGGAGGCTGAGGCAGGAGGATTGCTTTTAATTCAAAGCCAGACTGGGCTACACAGTGAGAACTTCTCTCAAAAAAAGAAAACAAATTTCTAAACCCTCTTTGCAGATGGGCACAGGGGCTTCCTTCCGGTAGAACAGTGTGTTCCGCACCATCACACACTTGTTCCCAGCACTGTGACACAGGTGTGCCACGGATGGCTCGTGCAGCCCAGTGTCACATCCACGCTTAATTGCGAGACATTTATTTCCAGTTTTTCTGTTAATTATTTTTCTTACCCACACTAGTTCAGAACAACCTCCCCCAAGGTGTTTCTTAGACTGTAGTCCATGCCATGAGTGCCCCCTTGAGAAGCCACAGGGCCGAGTAGCAGACAGAGGGCTTCAGCAGGGTCTGTTGCTTTGCTCTGTGAGTTCAGTGGTTCTTGTAATTATTTTGACATTGCTTAAACTGGTATCTACCAGAGACCCCCGCAGCAGGGCCCAGCACCCTGCCCCGTGTACGACGCAGGCTGAGAAGTAAATGCACTAATAGACAGAACTAGGAGAGAAAGAGGGGCCAGGACCAAGGCCGGTGCAGCCGACAAAGGCCCTGGCCGGTCCCAGGCACTGACTTTTACTGGCAATCAGCTGGGGTAAAGGCGCTGTGTGGTTTCTATGGAAATTAATGTAAACAGGCTCAGAAAGGACAAGACGAAGCATTCTCCAGTTAGGAACAGAGTGGACAAAGTACAAGGCTGTGATTAGAACACTGTCCTTCCAGTCGGAAGGTTTTAGCTGCGGGAACGGAATTTGGGTGCGAGGGACTCTGACCTCGCCACGCAGGCTCCACAGCCAGACTCGCTCCTGTAAACAGCCCGGCGTGGGGTTCACTCGCAGCTGCTTTGGCCCAGTCAGTGTCACGGTCCTCTGCAGTGATTCATGTATTCTGTCACTGCTATTTATATGACAGCTTCGCGGCAGAGCTATGTAATCATATATCTAGCACACAATCCAATGTGTCATTTTCATATCTGCTGTTCATTACTATATATTCTCTTATGTATTACATATTCTAGCATTACAGAAGAATTCAAACTAAAGAGAAGCAAAAATGTTTAAATCAACCATAATCAGATAATCCTTCCTGAACTATTATTAGCATTGTGGAATGTTTACTTTTATAATTTTCTATTTTTTCCACAAAATAAGAATCATTTTATACATACATTTTACCAGACTATGGAAATTTTAATAAATTTTATAACCAACAAATACACATATATATCCTTATCTAAGGTAGTTATGTACATATATAAACATTTATTGGCACATTTTAGCATACGTAATGGTAACATTCGCAGTAGGGAATTTGCACCTGTAGATGACATATCCGACCCCTTCTTTTTCCTCATTCCCCACGACCACCCTTCCCCTCCCTGTGTACAAAAGCTTTTCTTTTCCTTCTATTTTCACTTTCTTCCTGTCCCTTCCTTTCTCCTCCTCCCTCCCTTGTTCCCCTTCCCATTTGAGCATTTCCTCCCCATTTTCCAATCCCTCTCTCTCTCTCTCTCTCTCTTGGTTTTTTGAGACAGGGTCGCACTATGTAGTTGAGACTGACCTGGAACTCACTCTGTAGCCCAGACTTGGTCTTCAACTCACAGCGATCCTCCTGCCTCAGCCTCCCGAGTGCTAGGATTACAGGTGTGTGCCACCATGCCCGGCTTCCAATCTCTTTTATACATTTCAGTCCTTATTTCTACTTTCAGTTTTTCACACCGGAGAAACAATGTGGCATTTCAACACAGGTGTTCGATTTATTTCACTTAAGAGTTTGGTCTCAAGGCCCATCCAATTAGCTATAAATGTCTCAAGTTTATCCTTCTTTATGGCTGAGTAGTACTGCATTGTATTAAAAACACACACACACACACATCTTCTTTATCCATTTGCCTGTTGATGGATATTTGTGCTGTTTCCAAGATTTAGCTATTATAAACTGTGCTTCAATAAACATGGGTGTACAAATATTGCAAAGGTATGATGCTTTCAATTTTTTCAAGAAGATACCAGAAAAGGGAGTAGCTGGGTCAAATGGAACCTCTAGTTTTAGTTTGTGAGGAATCTCCGCACTGATTTCCACAGTGTTGTACCCGTCTATACTCCCACCAGCAGACCCACACAGGATGTTACTGGTTGATTTCTTGGTGATAGTCATTCTTTCTGGAGAGAGATGGAATCTTGGCAATTGTTTTAATTTGTATCTCTCGAATAACCAGTGATGTTGAACATTTTTTTCATATATTTATTTGTCATTTTTACTTCTTTATCTGAGAAGTGTATATTCATTTCAGATGCCTATTTTTGGACTGAGTCTTTAAGTTTCAGGGGATCTAATTTTTTTTAGTTCTATATATTCTACACACTAGTCCTTTTAACAACTGGTGAAAAACTTTTTCCCACTTGGTGGGTTGCCCTTTCACTCTGTTGGTGGTTTCTCTTGCTGTGCAAAAGCTTTTTAATAAGATGAGATCTCAGTTGTGATAGTTCCTGTGCATAAAGTCTTTGTCTATTCCAATGTCTCCAAGAATCCTCCCTATTCTGTCTTCTAGCAGATTGTTTCAGTCTTAATATTTAGATCTTTGATCCATTTCTATTTTAGTTTATTGCATGGTGAAAGATATGGGTCAAATTTCAATCTTCACCATGTGAAAAGCCAGTTTTCCTAGCAGCACTTATTAAAGAGTCTGTCTTTCTTCCAGTGAAGGTGTTTGGATCCTTTGTCAAAGATAAGGTAGCTAGCTGAGTATGCACATAAATTTTAGAAACTTTTTTCACCTAACTATATTCTTAAAGTATATTTTTTCAGTGTCAATAAACAGACTTCTGGAGCCTAAGATTTAGCTCAAAGGTTCCACTGCCTGTCTTGAAAGCACAAAGTCCCAAGTTCTATCCCCAGTACCAATAAAATAAAATAATAAAATAAAAATGAATAGACTTCTACAAAATCTTTTGTGTGGTGGCAGAATATTGTGTCTGAATGTACCATGATTTGTTTAGCCATCTCCCTGCTGTTCAATGTTTACTTTGATTCAGCCACAAATCATCTCCACTGGGCATCCTTGTAAATTAATATTTGCATTCCCTTGGTTGCTGCTTTGGGGTTTGAGTCTGCAAATTGGCCTGGGTTAGAAACCATGGTCACTGTGTAGAACTGTGTGCACTTTCACTCATTCTAAAGGGGATAACTGGACTTGTTTTCTGATTTCTGAGACACAGTCTCCCTATATAGTGCAGACTTTCCTTGAACTCGCTGTGTAGCCAAGGCTGGCCTCAAATTCCAGGTGATCCTCCTGCCTCAGCCTCCCAAGTGCTGGGATTACAGGTGTGCGCCATCAGGCCAAGCTTAACATGTACTTTTGCGTGTGCATAAATACGTATAACCAGTTTTCTTCCAACTATCGCTGCTACTCTAGGGAACTATATGTTGGGGCTTTCTCCCAACAGAACTCCAGACTACGATCTTGGAGAATAGATCGGATAATGGTATTTGGACATATTTTTCAAAACAACTAGCTTAGACTGTGAAAATTAAATGTGAAATCATCTTTTCTTCAGGATCCGCAGAAGTTTCCTGATATCCCAGAACAGTTCACGAGTGCGCTGGAAGATTTCCCCATAGTAACGCCCCAAGGGGTCCAGATGTTCCAGGTGGGTGGGGTGGGCTGCCTGCACCCCCAGTGCGTTAGCCCTGTGTCTCCCTCTCCAGTAGCCGTGCGCTTTATGTGCTTACTCCGGTGCTGGCACAGTCTCCACAGTTCGGAGGTGCAGCCTGCTGTCACCCTTGCTTGGCTCAGCCTCTTTGCTTCCCTCGGTGGCACGGAGCTGGGCCCTGATGCTCCCTTCTTGCTGTCCTCAGTTACCATCAGCAACTCCCCTTGGTCTTGCCAGTGTCTGTCCTTTCAAACGAGACTGGACACTCACTGCTCTAGAAAGTGCTCCTCGCTCTGCCCAGCCCTGCTGCCTCTCCAGGGAACCAGTGGCTTTCCCGCTGTACTGCTCCCCAGCATTATTCTTTGCTGTTATCTGAGGGAGATACATTGTTTTAATGTGTGTGGGAGTATATCTTTGAGGATTGAGGTAATGTCTTCTTTGGACAGGGAGGGGTTGGATTTAACAAAAATATACCCCTGACCGCAGCACTCGGTGGCTGTGTCACACAGACATAGGACTATACTGCCCATGCCAGTGATGGCGAACCTTTAGAGACTGCTACCCAAAACCCACCTATCTGTCATCAAGGGCCAACCCTGAAATTCAACCTGAATGCTGAGATTTGACTTTAGAAGAAACTTCCCGGATGCTCGGCTGCCAGGGTGACTTGGCTTATGTGCCTCAGAGGGCTCTGGAGCCTGCTGCACACCCATGCCGCGGGCCCGCACCCTGGCCAGAGTTTTCCGATTGTGAGTCAGCCTCATGGGTGGAGATACCCGGTGCTCAATAATGCTCTGTTCGTTGCCAGTGCGTGGACCCGCACCAGCCCCTGCGAGACCCCGTCGGCCACCCAGTCATGCACCAGTCGGCCCTGAAGCACGCCACAGGGGAAGCAGTGTTTGTGGACGACATGCCCCCTGTAGACCAGGAACTGTCCCTGGCCGTCGTCACCAGCACCAGGGCTCACGCCAAAGTCATGTGAGGGGACAAAGGCGTCCTTGGCGCTGCTGAGAGGTTTTCGGTTTTGTACCCAAACTGAAGCTGCCCCGTGGCACCGCTTAGAAGCTGCAGCTCTGGGTTGAGGCCTGTGTGCCTGCAGGGTAGAATGCACGTTTCGTCTTCCGGCCACGGTGGGAGCATAGTTCCAAGAGTCGGAGGCGCAGAGTATGCCCCTGCTGAACACAAACGCGCCTCCGAATGGCCCGGCCCTGGCGCTGGCTCCTGCCTGTCCCTGCGGAGCAACCTCTCTGGCTGCCCTTGAGCTCACCCTCCAGCTGTCACCCCTGCGTCTGTGTCCTCCTGCCTAGATCCATCGACACCGCAGAAGCCCTGGCTCTCCCAGGGGTGGTCGCAGTGATAACCGCAGAGGATGTTCCCGGGGAGAACAACCACCAGGGAGAGATTTTCTACGCGCAGAGTGAGGTGCGCGGCTTGCTGCCGGGCGAGAGCACTGCGTGGCTGTGGCACATAGCTTTACATCCACGCCACAAAGTCTTGCTGGGATCCAGGGACCCCGATCCCGTGAGGTCCGATGAAACCCCAAGTCCCGCTGAGGAAGGTTCTGGACTGTGTGACCCTCGTGGGCGCAGTGGAGCACACAGGACCCTGAGGAAGGCCGGTCAGCTCGTGCGGAGCCACCCCGCGGGAGGCCTGGCACAGAGTCTTCCCGCCCCCAGTCCTCTGGGCCTCTGTTTAAATCCACTCTGTAGGCAGAAAAGTGGCCTCCTTTTGGCCACTGTGCCCACTGCTGACCGTGCAAGTGTGGGAAGGGTGGCCCCGTGCTGATGGCCCTGCCCTCGGCTCCTTCACAGGTGATCTGCGTGGGCCAGATCGTGTGCACCGTGGCTGCCGACACCCACGCGCACGCCAGGGCGGCAGCCGAGAAGGTGAAGATCGAGTACGAGGACATGGAGCCGCGGATCATCACCATCGAGGTGGGCGGCTGGCTGGACTGGCTGCGCCCTCTTCCGGCGCCCGAGGGAATGCGCG